ACTTAGTCAATGTTGTGTGCGTTGGTACACTGATTCACTTGTATGCTGATGATGTACAAATGTATGTAAGTCGTCCACTACATAGAATCAATGAATGTATTGAGTTTTGTAATGAGCAGCTTAAAAAAATAAGTGTATGGGCAAAACAAAATGGACTTGGTCTAAACCCATCAAAATCAAAAGCATTGATAATATACAAAAATAATATCGACACTTCCAATATACAAAAACTCAATGTCAATAATTCACCTATTGAATATGTGAACCATACGGCTAACTTGGGCGTCATATTTAATAAAACATTAACGTGGAACAATAACATAAATCAAGCAACTGGCAAGACTTATGGTCTGCTAAGAATGTTACATACAACAAAAAACTATCTACCGATGAACATTCGGCTATTAATTGCCAAAACCTCTCTTGTCCCAACTTTAATGTATGGTGTTGAAATTTTTGCAAATTGTGGTTCAGTGAGTTTCCGTAAAATCAATGTTTGTTTCAACAATATTTTTCGATATGTATACGGTCTGAGGTTGTATGATCATGTCTCGACACTAGCATGTAATATATTAGGATTAAGTATAAAAGACTACATGCAATTTAGAACTTTAATATTACTGCACAAGATTATCTATTCAAAAGAACCGGCGTACCTGTACAGTAAACTTCAGTTTGCCTCATCAGAACGAACGAAAAACATTATAGTTAAAAGGCACAAAACATTGACATCAGAAAGGCATTTTTTTTATTCACGCTATTCGCATTTGGAACCAACTACCTTGTTCAATAAAACTAATTGGGAATGATACGCTCTTCAAAAGGGCGGTATTAAGAATATATCAAAATACAGCATAATGAAAATGAAAAATAAAAATGAAAACAAAAATAAAAAGGAAAATAAAATTAAAAAATGAAAAAAATTTAAATTGAAATTAAAAAGTTGATAAAACTAATAATAATTCAAGCAAAGACTTTTTATTAAAATCAAGCAAAGACTTTTTAATTTTTAGTTTTTAATTTCTAAATTATAGTTTTAAGCTACTTTAAGCATATATATATGTTAAACTTAAATTAAATTTAAATTCAATGTGACTAGGGCAATAATAAATAAGCAATAGCTTGTAGTCCTGGGAAAACAATAAAACAAATAATAATAATAAAAATAATAAATAATATTCAATTTCGTCCTTGAAATAGAAGCATTTTTGCCTTTTGCATCTGATGCCGTTCGCTTGAAGAATGCTGAGAACTTGGTCGATTCGGTTCAGATGTTCCTCGCTTGTAGGTGCTGAGATCATGATATCATCTAAATAGTTGCCAAAACCTTCTAATCCCTATAGAAGTTGTTCGAGGTATCATTGAAAAATGGCTGGTGCACTTGCAATCCCGTAAGAAAGACGCTGATACTGAAATAGGCCCAGTGGTGTGTTAACCACCGTGATTTCTTTCGAAGCCTCTTCTAATTCCATCTGAAGATAGGCACCCTTGAGGTCTATCTTGCTAAACTGCTTTCCATGACGAATGATGTGAAATAGAGCTTATTTTGTTGGTAATGGATACAGTTCGACGTCGATTTGTGCGTTGATTGCCTTTTTAAAATCGTCACAAATACGAATATCGCTACCTGGCTTAGGTGTGAGCACAATTGGGGATGCCCAATTGCTGAACTTGACTGGTTTCCAAATTCCGGCTTGTGTGAGTCTGTCTGCTTCAGCTTTAAATTTGTCCATCTGACCGAACGGAATTATGCGGCTTTTATAAAACTTTGGCGTTGCTGACGATTTTAGAAATACGCTGGCTTTGAAGTCTTTAGTAACCCCCATAGCTGGTTCAAACACTTATTTGTATTTGTTGCAGATTTCACTTACTTTGTCATTACGCACCTCATAAATGTTTGATACTTGCATGATATCGAATCCGAAAACGTTAAATAGATCCATGCCGAAAAGAGTAGTCGAAGTTTCTATATTTGCCACAATTAAGACCACTTCTATCTCTTTCTCCCCGCACTTTGCGACAGTGTGCAGCTCCCCTAGCAATGGTATTGGTGTATGTCCAAACGCATGTAAAACTCGGGAACACTTTTGCAATTTTGGCTTCTTCAGCAGCGCGTATGTATTGGAGTTTATCACGGATGCTGTTGCTCCGGAGTCCATTTGAAATTAAATTACTTGATTAAATATTTCGAGATCAATGACTTTTCTGTTTTGTTGACATTTTACTTGACCTGTGACACTGTAAACTGCTTCGAACACTTCGACTTCGTTTGCTTCGTTCTTGTTGGACTTGACTTTACGGTTATTTGCTCACCAAAGAGAGAAATGCAAATTCAAAAACGCCGTATGTCGCAGGTGCGGTAGAAAGTCAAATGCTAAAGGGCCTGTGATTGATTGTCCACAACCAGAGCACGATTTCAAATCACTTTTGAACGATTTGGCATCACTTCCACTTTTTGCAAACTTTTTTGTGTACGTGTGGATCGCATTGATTGGATCCTGTTTGTATATGTTCTCTTTGAGCGCTGCAACGGTTTTTGTTGTTTTCTCATAGGTTTCAGCAAATAAGAGTACATCTTCAAGAGTTGGCTATGAGTAAGTTTATTTTATTGAACTTAATTACATGTTATTGTTCAATTTTTGAGAAGTATTAGAAAAAAATTGTTTTTTTTTTAATATTTAGAAATAAGCCAGTGGTGGTTAATCTTCCGAAACGCCTAAAGAAAAAGTTGTTTTGCGGTGACATCATAGGGAGTTAACGGATCATCTTAAAAATAGAAAGTGATATGCGTAAAAAAACTCTTTCTGATTACCTGCGTACATATTTATGTAGAGAGTTTGTGCTAAAAATTTGAAAAGGATCGGTTTAGTAGATTTTGAGTTATGATGTTCACCGACTTTAAAAATAACGTTTTCGGGGAAATTTAGGTTTTATTTAGCTTACCCTGTTTTTTTTTTTTGGTGCGTTAAAATTAGAAATTGAAATTTAAGTACCTTCCAGTTGTAGAAGGATGTTTACCTACAAGGCCCACTGTACCATAGAATAAGAATTAGAGATAGAGCCAAAGATGTATAGTCATCTCCCTCGTTCTCATAGCATAGAATAGAATAAGTTTAAGTTTAAGATCATTGTATTGCGAGCTCGCTCACGCGGCTGAATGAGGAGAAGAAGGAAGAGAGAAAAAGGCACTCAGTGCCTGGCGATTGAAAGGAGCGGTTGGGTATAGAGAATAATAAAGTTATAGAAATTAAAGCACAACCTCGACATTATTTAACTACTACACTGTTGTCAGATTGATCTGAAATTTGGATCACACCTTCAGTTCCGAGGACAATACAATATAGTAATATCAATAACATTGTAAATCCAAGATGGCGGCCGCTACAAAATGGCGGATAACGTAGGTTTTATCAATCCCATCAATATGGGTATCAAATGAAAGTGCTCAACCAGTAGAATACAATGTACTATATAAAATTAAAGGTTAGGTTTTATCAATCCCATCAATATGGGTATCAAATGAAAGTGCTCAACCAGTAGAATATAATGTACTATATAAAATTAAAGGTTAGGTTTTATCAATCCCATCAATATGGGTATCAAATGAAAGGTCCCAACAAGTAGAATACAATTTACTATGCAAAATTGAAATCTAAAATGGCCGCCGCTACCAAATGGCTGATAACAATTTTTTTATCAATCCCACCCATATTGGGTATGAAATAAAAGGGCTTGACAAGAAGAATACAGTGCACTATACAACCCCAATATTTAAGATGGGCGCAGCCACTAAATGGCGTATAATAATAAGATTTAAATTTAGAAATCGAATCTGTAATTTAGGTATCTCATTAATCCAGCCTGAATCCACCACCCAAGTCAAGATTTTGTATCGCGTTGAGGACTGTGTGGCGTTAGGGTGGCTAAAAATGACATGTCGTTAGCGGTACACCATCCAAGTTAAGGTGAAAGCTTAAAACGCGCCGAGAACTGTATGGCATTAGGGTGGATAAAAATAATATGTCGTTAGCGTTTTCCCCTTATGACTCAGGCGCATCTTTATTGGACCTCTTTATTGGACCTCTGGCGGCGTCGACCGTTTAAATGTCTATTACTCGTGGGAACAAAATGTAAAAAAAAAAAAAAAAAAAAAAATGCGAAATAAAAACTAAAAACTAGAAAATAAAAATAGGTAAAAAAAACTTTTTAAGTTAAACGGTTTTATGTAAAACATACATTGCAATGTTTAAGATAAATGTACTAAAAACCAAAAAATAATACAATTTTTTATTATTATAAACATATGCATAGACTAGACTAAAATAAAACCGTGGGGCACGTCAATTGTCTACAAGCGTTGATTAAAATGTTTGTTTGCCTCACGGTTTTATTTTAGTCTAGTCAGAAGGACAACATTCTGCCTTTGAGAAGGCCACTTGTCTTCAAAAAGTCATACCCGGCAAGATCGGAATCCTCAGAGTATCTAGTTTCCGTGGAGCTACGGATATCATCATATTTTAAAACAACGTTATCATTTTATTTCCATTAATTCTATATAGAATTTTTGATCACTTCACATGGCAGCTACATATATGATATAGTCATTTTTTCCGTTATATATATATATATAGCCGCACGATCCATCCGGTTCCGTCTTTTATGCTGCGTGCAATAACTACACAACTTTTGGCCTAGAGGTGCCTTGGGCCCTAGGGGATTCTTTTTAAGACATAAAGGCCTATAAATGGGATTTGGGTAAAGTCTCGAATCTCATCTTATAATAGGTGACATAATACGTAACTGTCCTAATATTAAAAACATTTTTACTTGTTTTAGCTTTGACTGCTAAAGTTTCGGCCTAGCGTTTCCTGTGTGCCTGATAATTTTTTCATAATATAAAAAACAAATTGCAGAGTGATTGGTTTAACATAAGCTTTTACATTTTCAATAAAATCCAATGTAAATAATTTTTTTTTATATCATTTTGAAATTTCATATAGGTGAATGACGTCAAAATGCCACAAGTATACTTGGCCTTACTATTTTTTTGCCCCTATTTTACAGGTAAGATTTAAATACTAAATATTTATAATCACCCATTTTACTTCCGCTGTTAACTGCGAAGAAAAATATACATATCTATAGAGTCTTTACATGCTTAAAAAATTTGTCGATTTCTTTAGATCTAAAATCCTTTTCCTGATTTAAATTCTGGTAATAAATACGCTGGGATTCGCGTTGTTAAAAATTTGTACACCCACCAGCTTATAAAGCGTTAAGGCTCTGCTGTCGGTATGGGCGCCGAGACTCAAAAGTTGTTACGCCCATAGACATTGTTTACATGAGTAATTGGAAGTAGTTCGAAGCAGTGCACAGTGGTCCGGCTACATATATGGAAAAAGTGGTCATAAATCAGAAACTCAATGTAGAGTTCGAAATTTGCATTTGGGGGTTCGCTGATTTCGAATATGAAGTGGAAATTTCAAAATTTAAAATGGCGGCTCCAATATTGCAGTTGTGATTTCCGTAATTATCTGGTGAATATATTATCTAATTTTTCACGACCCCAGAGAGTGCCACGTGGAGGTTTACGGTAAATTTTGACTGTCCTTTTTTTTTTACATTTTTTTGACAAAAAAATTTTGTTTTTAATTTTTTTTTAATGTTTTTTTAATTTTTTTTTTCATTTTTTTCTTTGAATTTTTGTTTTTTTGTTACTTTTTATTTTGGACTTTTGTTTTTTAATTTTTAAGACATTTTTTTAACTAAAAAAAACAATTGATCTTACCCTAGCCTCCTTCCAATGTCACCGCATAAATTGGAATGAAAGAATATTCTAGTACAAAGTAGGTATACTTAAAATAAAGCAGCACAACTGCCCAAATTAAAGTAACTGCATATGCACAAGCACACGTAAGAGAATGAGAATGAGCGCAAAGGAGAACTAGGGAAGATAAAATCATTAACCTTTGTTTTTGTCGCTTTCGCTGTCACTGCTGATTAGGCTGGTGCTTAATTTCAACAACAGGTGTGGAAAAAATGTTCGCATTTGCGTTTGCGCAAAAGTTTTAAATTGGGTATTGTAGTACAGATGTAAACTAATATTACCTATATGGTCTCTGGTTGGAAGCTAATGGAAGGATAAAAATATTCGATTCCAAAAAATTTAAAAAAAAAAAAACAATTTTTTGCTAATTAAATGAGAATCCCATCAATACAACAATATTTATTATTATTATTAGGGGGAAAAGGTTATCTCGACCCAACTGGATCTATTGTACCCCCTATCTGAGCTTAGAGCTCACCCATCAACCCGGCTCCTTCGATAAGGTTAAGGAGCTTTATCGGGTCGATGCTTCCAGAGGTCCCAAGTGTAAGGAACCTGGACCCGAGGGTTCTGCTCCTCAGGCTACTTAGTGCTGGGCAATCTGATATTATGTGTAGGGAGGTTTCATCCTCGCTATCACAGAATCTGCATGTTTTACTGTTTATAATCCCTATATTAAATAGGTGTCTCCTTAGTTTGCAGTGTCCGGTTAATAAGCCGGTAACTATCCTAAGTGATCTCTTCCCTAGTTGTATAAGTTTCTTAAACCTCTTCATGTCATAATTGACGATGAGGGTTTTGGCTTGTCTTTGGCCTGTGGTGTCTTCCCAGCAGGCTTGCCTCATATGTACCTCTCCTTTTCTTAGGTAATCTTTGACTGTGTGTCTGCCTATGCCACAGTAAGGCTGGGGTCCTATAAGGGGTCGTTCCGCCCCTAGTTTTGCTAGCCTGTCGGCTAGTTCATTCCCGGATATGTCTTTGTGTCCTGGAATCCATCTTAATGACAGCCTGTTGTTGCTGCCCAGAAGGTTCAGCTTTGTTCTTACTTCTCGTACCAGCTTCGAGGTGATTCTATTACTGCATAGTGCAGTAATTGCCGCTCGACTGTCCGAGAGGATCGCAATGTCCTTGTTTGTGTACCCACGCTTCATATTGAGCTCTGCACGCCGTCCTATGGCGCAAACTTCAGCTTGGAATATGCTGGTGTATTGGCCTAACGATTCATGGTATTTGATTTGTGGTCCTACTACTCCAAGGCCAGTGCCTTGGTGTGTTAAAGACCCGTCCGTATACCATGCTATAGTGTGACTCGCCATGGAGTGTACTTCCTTCATGGTGGTCCATTCTTCCATGTTGCTCATATGAGCAGAGAAATTCTTTTCAAAGATGAATTCTACTGTCATTTCGTCCCTGGGGTGTGAGCTCAGGAGAAGTTCGACTAGTAGTTTTGCTGCACCCCTAGAACTGAGAATGCGGTCACTGCCATTACCACAAGAAGTGATTCTTAGTAGGGTGGCCTTCCGCTGTAAGCGGAGTGAGTTCCATGAGAACTTCCAGTGCCGCAGTGGGGCAGGTTCTCATTGCTCCTGTCATACATATGCATGCCAGTCTTTGCAGCCGTTGGAGCTGTTTCTGTGCGGTAACGAGCCTAGCTCGTTTAACCCAGGCTACTGACCCATGTGTGAGTATTGGCCTCACAATTATAAGGTATAATTGTGATAATTTGGGGTGAGGTCCCATAAGATTTCCCTGCAATTTTCCGACAAGTGAAGAGAGCCCTGAGGCACTTATCCACTGTCTTTTGCATATGGGTTGCAAACGTTAGCCTCCTGTCGAAGGTAACTCCGAGGTACCACTTAACTTCCCGGCTTATTGCTACGGGAGTACCTAGTAGCATGATTTGTCTCATCTTCTTTAGTTTGTACTTCTTTGTAAAAGGAACAATGACTGTTTTTGCGGGGTTGAGGTTAAGCCCAACTTCCCTGCACCAGTCGAGCGTTATCTTGAGTCCGAGTTGGACAATATCGCAAAGCGTTTCTTCAAATTTCCCTTTGGCTACTATTACTATGTCATCGGCATAGCCCTGACATTGTAATCCTCTGTCGGCGAGTTTCTTTAGTAGTTCATCTACTAGTAGGCTCCATAGTAAAGGAGACACCACCTTGCGGACATCCTCTGCTTGTGGCAACGGTCATTGTGCTGTTGCCAATGGTCGCCATTGCCTGCCTGGAGCTTAACAAGGCTCCAATCCACCTTCTTGTTGTCGCGTCTATATTCCTTCTGGCGAGGGCCGCTAAGACAGCATCATGCGACGCATTGTCAAAGGCTCCCTCTATATCCAGAAAGGCAACTTCTTTGTTGTCCACTACCCCTTCAAGGGTGTGACAAAGTTGGTACAGTGCAGTGTCTGTTGAACGACCTGCCCTGTATGCATGCTGCGTGGGTTGCAGCGGACAGTCCTTAAGATCTGTGCTTCTAATATGGTAGTCTACCAGCTTTTCCAACATTTTAAGGCAAAACGAAGTTAAGCTGATAGGTCTGAAGGACTTTGGGTTGGTGATGTCTTTCTTCCCTGCTTTGGGGATGAAGACCACTCTAGCTCTACGCCACGCATTTGGGATGTGTCCAATTGCTAGGTTGCTTAGTATCAGTCTCCTTAAGCGGGTTAGGAGTAGATCCAGTCCCTGCTGCAGGAATGATGGAGAGATACCAATGGTTGGAAGGTCCCAATTGCCCATTTTAGTCTCTCCGGAGAGAGACCAAGGTGTCTTGGAGTGGACGATGCCTCCATTGGGTTGGACGTATCTTCCGCCAGGGGTGAGCTCCCGGGGAAGTGTGTTTTAAAGAGTAAAGCTAGTTTATCCCTGTCGTCGGAAGTGTAAGAGTTGTCACATTTCCTCAGGGCTAGGTTACTTTCTGGTGCAACTTTGGCCATAGCCTTGTGCAATCTTGCCCCTTCATGGGAAGTGCTGATTGCCTCACAGAAGTCTCTGTAGTTCTTCCGTTTGGCCTTCCTGATCTCTTTTTTGTAGAGCGTCAGGCTTTGTTGGTATTGTCCCCAGTTATCTTCGCTCGTTTTTGCTCTGTTGAAGAGCCTGCGGGTGGAGATTATGAGCCGTTTCAGGTTGTCATTCCACCATGGGGCGTCTCTATCTGCTTTCCGTCTGCCAAGAGGGCAACTGTCCTCAAAAGCATTGGTTATCTTCTTGCAGAGGTTATCCACTGCCTGATCCAATTCTAAAGAATATCTGGGTATACCTGACGGCTCGTTAGAGAGATTGAGCTCAAGGGAGGACTTGAACCAATCCCAGTTTGTTTTCTTGGGATTCCTTTTGGGGACGTCCCTAGCGGTGTTGAAGTCTACTTCAAATCTAATGATTCGGTGATCCGACATTGATTCCTCTGGCGACACTTGCCAGTTCTTAATAAGTGGCCCAAGAGACCTGCTTATCAGAGTTATGTCTAGGACCTCCTCTCTTACTCTAGTAATGAATGTCGGTGTGGACCCGACATCACCGATTTCTAGGTTACTATTTACAATAAATTCTATTAGCTGCTCACCTCTGTTGTTGACATCGGTGCTTCCCCATATCACGTGATGTGCATTGGCGTCACACCCGATGATTAGGGGCATCTTCTTCCTCCTGCAGCATTCCACGAGTCCGATGATTTCCGGTGGTGGGCATGCTGCATCCCCAGCAAAATACGCCGATGCTATGGCGATCGCTGGTAACCTTCCTGCGCCGCTCACAGTTACCACGACTCAGTCACTACTTAGGAACTCTGAAAAGATATTATAATTGATATCTTTTCTTATTAATATGCATGCTCTTGGGTGTGTACCCCGTTGGTCGCATATTACCTTTGATTCCTTGGTGTACAGGCCTTTAATGCCCTGATTGCACCAAGGCTCCTGTATGAGAGCTGGCCCGAGATGTTGGTTGGTGAACAACCTGGCCAGGACGGCTGATGCCGCCTTGGCTCGGTGTAGGTTCACCTGGGCTAGACTCGTGCTGCTGTATGCAGCCATCACTGGAGCGGATGCTCCATCTTTGGTGAAGGGGGCGGGTGTTCCCCTTCTCTGCCATCCGTCAGAGTGACGTCGGCCTCCATTTCGTCGTTATAGTCCAGGAGAGACTCATGTGTTGACTTCGGGGAGGGCGTAGGATGCTCCTCATCCTCACTCCTCACATCCATAGCGGCGCTAGGGTCCTCCTCTGTACCCATAGGCTCCTGT